ACCACACACACACACACACACACACACACACACACACACACACACACACACAGGCCATAGCCTGTGTCATTCAGAGAGAGAGAGAGAGAGAGAGAGGACAGCAGAAAGAAAAGCGAGCTGATTGTTTCCAGACTGTGGTTTGTGTGCCAGTGAAACCACACTGCGTGCTGCTTGTGTATCATAAACTCTTTTTCTTATTAACCCATAATGACTCCAGCACACGGTGACCTCTGACCCCACGTGTGTTGCTGACGTGCACCGTACAGTATTTGACAAATGACTGCAGAAACAAGAAGCTATGAAATACAGTAAATCACTGTAATGTTACACTGATCGTAATGTGACACTGTGTGTGTGTGTGTGTGAGAGAGTGTTTAGGTGACCAGCAGGCTTCCATTGCAATTAGCAATTGGGTAAATGCATGAGTCTGGTCTAGATTACAGGCTCACACACACACACACACACACACACACACACACACTGTGTGGTGAAACATCTGGAGAGTTAGTGTGTGTGTGTGAGTTCCCACAGAGCAGCAAATAAACTACATGCCAGAAAAAAAGAAAGAAATGTGTTTTAATTTCTTTGGCTTGAGGTGAGCTGCTCATTACATCATCATCATCATCATCATCATCATCACCACAGGAGGCCCTGACACACACACACACGCACATACACACACACACACACACGCACGCACGCACGCACACACACACACACTGTACACTACTAATACTACTGTCAGACTACATTGTGCTAACTGTAAAGGCGGGATAATGGTATGGGACTGTTTACAAAAAAAATCTGGGTGTTATATTAGATAGCAACTTGTCTTTTGAAAATCATATTTCCCATGTTACAAAAACAGCATTCTTCCATCTTAGAAACATTGCCAAGTTACGAAACATGTTAGTTGACTTGATTGCAAAGATACTATTTAAACTGAGCTGGATGTTGACATCACTGAATTCAATGATGAACTGTCTTTAACTGAAAAATTTGTGTTTACTATTGTCATTTTGCATTATTGACACACTATTTTCCTAATTAATGCTGTTCAGTTGCTTTGACACAATCTGTATTGTTAAAAGCGCTATATAAATAAAGGTGACTTGACTTGTTTTTCAAGGGTTGTGTTGGGCCACTTGCTTCCAGTAAATGAACATCTTAATGCTTCAGCATATCAAGACATTTTGGACAATGCTGTGCTTCCAGCTTTGTGGGATCAGTTTGAAGAAGACCCTATTTTATTCCAGCATGACTGTGACCCAGTGCACAAGGCAAGGTCTATAAAGATCAGTTTGGTGAGGAAGAACACAGAGCCCTGAACTCAACCCCATCCAACATCTTTGGGAGGAACTGGAATGAACCAGACCTTCTCATCAAACATCAGTGCCTGACCTCACCTACAATGTTAATGCTGTAGATGGTTTTCATTCCTCTCCTGGAGTTGAGCAGGGAATAGTCATCTAGTTGTCCCAAAATGTCTTTGTTAATGTCTCTAGAAGCCCGACCCAATCTTGGGACTTTGCTCCTATTAACAAGATCCCCATATAACCAAAGATTCAGGTTTATTAACTAAAACGTGATAAGGGCTGGCTTTTGAACTTTTGGCAGACTGTGAAGATCTTGTATTCAATCGGTCCAGGAATAGAAGCCATCAGATAAAGGAGGAAGCTTGATTATCTGAGTGAATTAGACAGAGAAAATACACACAAATCAAAATCCTAACGCTGATAAACAATGATGTCCTTCCTGAAAGAGATCAGCCCGTTGGTGAAGAACCATTATAAAACAGATAGTTGCGGTGCTTGATTCTGATTGGCTGAGCCGCGTTCGAAGCTGTTGTAAATGACTCTACAAAGTAACATACACCTTTGTTTACGTTTGTGTGTTGCTCGGCAACCACTTTGTAGCAATTTGACACTTACACTCTATGTGAACTTTCTAGGAAACAGTTTGGATGATAAAACATCTGCTGAGAACATAAATGTCCATCTAACAGCTCAATGGAGTCTCATTGTAGAGTTGCGTAGATCTGTTCAGGAAAAGCAGCTCAAAGGCTACGATTAGATTGAGCATTATGGGAACACTTTACAATACTGCTGCACTAATATGCATTAATTCATTCTTAACTAATGCGCAGATAACCACGAGTTAATGCACAACTTCTTAAGAACTAAATCATTCATTAATGATTTCTACATCAGCAACTAATAAAGAGTCTATCTGATTAATAGATTAAGTAATATATCAATTGCTATTAATTTAAAGTGTCAACCTGTATTAAATCCTTAATAACATGTAGTATTAACTAATAGTGTAATTTAATGTGTTACTTACCACAAAGATATGCATTTCAACTTACAGTTATTGCTTTAATTAATCATTAGCTAATGATTTGCAAAGATATGACTTTACTTGTTGAGGCACATATATTAACTCATTGTTAAGTATATGTCCTTATGGTTAGGGGTTTTGCTATCCCCACCAAAGTTTGAGGTCTGTGGGACTGTTTGGACAGCTGCACAGTGAATGTAATGTCAGAGAAGCAGTGGGACGCCTACAAGTGATTTAAAGGGAAAGAAATGTTCTGACATGAGACCCATTTGAGCAAGATTTCCAGAGCTGAAAGACATTCGTCTCTTTCAGAAGAAGATGATCAGATGAGAGTCTGACTGATGATTATATAATAAGACACTCATGAACTGTTTCTCTGTGAGTCTCTGTCACAGCAGGATCTGCTCAAGTCCACTATGATCCTGTTCTTCTAGATCTGTGTTACCTGCAGGAACTGGATGTGATCCTGTGTGTGCTCCAGCTGCGCCAGCTCAGCGTCTCTCCTCCTCAGATCATTGATCTCCTGCTCCAGTCGCTCCAGTCGTCCTTCAGCTCGACTCACTGCAGTCTTCTCCTGATCTCTGATCAGCCGTATCAGCTCAGAGCGGCTTCTCTCAATGGAGCGGATGAGCTCAGTAAAGATCCTCTCACTGTCCTCCACTGCTGTCTGTGCAGAGCGCTGTTAGGACACACAGTGATTCAGGCTTCAGTGAGTCTGAACTGAGACGGAGACAAACTTCTCTTCTTCTCCAGACTCACCTTATGAGACTCCACAGCCTCTCTCAGCTGCTGAAGATCTTTCTCTCTCTGCTGGATTCTCTGCTGGAACGTCTTCTGCGTCTTCTTCAGCTGCTTCTGCAGGACAAACAGATGATAGTGAACATCACAGAAAACTATACTGACATTAAATCATCAAGTGAAGAGATGAATCCAGTAAACATGGAGCTGATAACTAATGACTGTAGGTTCAAACTCCAGAAGGGACAATTGATCATTTACCACCATCTTACATGAATTAAGGCCTGTTTCAAACTACAAGTGTAAGTATTATAAAAGTGAAACAGACACAGACGTAGAGCTTCACACTGAGAGTGTTTCTGTGTAATTAAAATGTGGCCAGACAGAAAATAAATGAACAAAGTGAAGCTATAAATGACTGAAATCATCTGGATTCAGTCAGATTTACTGAACAGAAAGTCGTCTGTCACTGCATTTATATTGTATTTTGACGGATGAAAGTATGTATTTTGTCAAAGAACGGGTGAATAGTCACACTGTCACAACGCTGTGTTGTTAGTACACATGAACACGATGATGAAGGTTACAGGCAGTCTTTAATAAATCCACAGGCAAGATATACAAACAGAGAGAACTGCTACAACACATCTAAACACGGAAGAGACCCGACAGTTATGACCGGAAACAAACAAACTAAAGCACTAAATCAAACGAGGCTAATAAACCATACACACCTGAACTAAATGATGAAATCAAATCACTAACCATGACAATGAAAATGGTGCAGACTGAAAACAAAGTACAAACCCTGAATGTGTGACAACTCCATTATTTGATGTTGCTTAATCAAAGCCTATTTTATGAAAGATTGTATTGATAAAGGTTTACTTTTTCAGCAAACTCTTCTTGCAGCTGCTGTTCATTTCTGCTGTCGTGTGACGTGTGAATGCTGTGAGCTGTTCATATGGTGCTGATATAAACACATATGAAACGAGTCTCAGCAATATTTCATCAGTGTCTAGTGTTAAATACCTGTTTCTCTGTCCTCTGTGCTGCAGCTGATACAGTGTCGTGGTTTTTATGTTCATCCATCGTACACAGCACACATATACATTTCTGATCAGTGCGACAGAAAACCTCAAGGAGCTTCTCATGTTTCTGGCAGATCATCTCCTGCAGTCGTCCAGTGGCTTCAGTCAGATTGTGTCTCTTTCCTTTAAAGAAACTCTCATGTTGTTCGAGGTGATTCTGACAGTAAGAGTTCAGACACACCAGACAGGACTTGACGGCTTTGTATTTTCTTCCAGTACAGACGTCACACTGAACATCTCCAGCTCCAGCAGGAACCACACTTTGAAGTTTAGTCTTCTTCAGTTTCTCCAGCATTTCAGCAAACACCACGTTCTTAAATAAAGCAGGTCTTGGACTGAAGGTCTGTCTGCACTGAGGGCAGCTGTAGACTCTCTTCTCATCCTCCTGATCCCAGCAGTCTGTAATACAGCTCTTACAGTAACTGTGTCCACACTGGATGGTCACTGGATCCTTCAGGAGATCCAGACACACTGCACACATGAACTCATCCTGAAAAACTCTGGCTCCTGCCATTTTACTGCTTAAATACAGAGACACAAACACACAACAGCTCAACTACACTTCAGTTTCTCTTTTCCTGAACATGCGTGTTTCCTGTTTCCTGCTTCTGTGTTTGAGTCACATGAGTAAAAAAAAAAAAGCTGCTTCCTCATTCCT